CAACCTCCACCCCCATCCCAACCCCTGCCCCCACTCCCTTTTTTTAATAAACGAGAGCAATACATAGTACATCAAACTAGTCAAAGGCGCAATGGAGACTAGATCATCATTTACAAGTAAAGTGGCCACATTTCCTTCCACAGCAAACAACAAAGGCAGCTTTTGGAGTTGTTGAATCAACAACAATATAAACACAGAGACACCATCACCACCATTACGAACAGCGACGTCAGCAAAGAGACGAGAAAACTGTAAAAAAAAAAAAAATTTAATAAACTAATTTTAAGTGCCATTGGCATTGGCAGCAACAACAAAAAATAAACATAACAACAACAACAACAAAGACGACGACGACGACAACGACAACAATAATAACAACAATAAAAACAACGACATAAATAAGAGCGCAGGAGAGAGAAAACGTAAGACAACGACACATATGATGACACTAACCATAGCCCATAGTATTTCCGCAAAATGTGACATACCTAGCAAATCTAACATTGCAAAAATGTTGCGACTTTGGAAGTGCAATTAATGTAAACTTGTCAATACCAAATAGAATACAATTTCTTTTTCCAATGTGGCATTACACGCTTAAATCTGAGATTTTTAGAAACTTGTTTGTTGGATCTACCTGACAGTATCAATAGAGAACTCAGTCTGCCTTCCATATCTCCACCCCTCCCCCATCCGACACCCCCCACCCCACCCCATTTTCCTTTTGTATGTAAGTCTAGCAACAATCAGCGAAATCGTTCTTAACTGACTGCTACAACTATCAAAACGTCAGAACGGCCATCCGCTGAAAGAAATTCTGACAGCAGCATACTCCTTGTTTATGCAAAGTGACGCGTGAAAACTCTGTTCAGCTTTGTTATATATTTTGCAGTAAGTGGTTTTACATTTTATTCTACCTCCATTCACATCAGAAATGACATTTTTCACATTTAAAAGCACTACGCACTGTATTGCCCTTTCCATATTCAGATTTGAAATTATATGAATTAAATGTCACATTAATTGGTTTTCTAGGTCGCAATTCACCTTTCAATGAACCTGGTATGTTCACATCTCAACGGAGAAAACTATAGAATACACAACAACAACAACAACAACAACAAAAATACTGCAACAGCAACAACAGACACAACATTTTCAATTACATCCCTGACATATTTTCCACACACTAGCACATACCTGAACATATCCATCTCCTTTGTCCAGCATATATCCAAGAACAGGAATCCCCAGAGCCTCCGACAGAAGATTGACGGTCTGCACAGTCTGAACACGACCGAACACAATGAGAAGCCTTGCATGGCTCCTGTCTCCTTGAAAGTGAGTACACATTTTCGTGATCATCGTTTTCATATCATGGGATGCGCTGAGAGCATGCCCTGCCCACGTAAACGATTTGCTTTCGTTCCGAATGTTCTGAAGAGCGCGTTCAAATATGGGTACAAAGTCGTCCAAATCCCGTTCTTCGAACACGGCGGTGATGTTGACTGTAGGCTTGACGGGCGGGGGGCGGGAGGAAGACTTATACTCCGGAGGCGGGATTGGCGCTGGAACAGGAAGGGGCGTGGCTTGTTGCTCCGTGTGGGAAGAAACATCTGTGTGGTGGGTGTGAGGGTGTGTGTGGGAACGATGTAGGTGATGAGAGGAGGCGGAGGACGAGGTGGAGGAGGAGGAGGAGGATGACGACGATGATGGTAGGTCGCAGGCTACACAAAGAACGAGGCTGGCCAGTACCAGCGAAACCACTATCCCCAGCATGGTACCTCGGGGCAACCGTGAGAGACGGAGCGTTGTGGCAACAGCAGCAGCAGCAGCAGCATCCAACATGGGCGCCTGAAGCGACGGAGGGGACGCGCTGATCCAGGCATTGGGCAGCGAACTGGAACCCTTAGCGGTGGACACGACGACGCGGGCTGCCTTTCCCGAGAGTGGAGCGCTCAATGAAATCTTCTCAGTGTCTTCCTTGAAGCTGAGATGAATACCCCACCAACACACTACTTGTTTTTTTTTTTTGTTCTGCTGGAACTGGGAAGAAAAATCTTCGAGAATTCTCACAACGAGCAGCGTTCGGAAACACTTGTTGCGACCCGCTAAGCGGCTAAGGGGTCAACCCACCAAGGCTATACAGAGATATTTCAATTGAAGCAAGAAAACAGGTCGCTGCAGTCTTTTCTCAAAGAAGAGAGAGTTTTCAAGACATATTTTACCGCCACAAGTACATCCTTGTACCAAAGTCCCTCATTCAAGTACTGAAAGCTGAGCAGATCACGATGTGCCGTACCTCTCAGTTCGGAACGGCTAGTCTCGATCTCCGACCACGAGACACAGACATGCAGATGACGGGCGCTCCTCAAGCCACACACTGAGAAAACGATGATGATCAAGGCATGCTATGCTTCTGTTTTTCTTTACCTCTCGGAGGAAGATTCCAACGATAAAACCTTTAGAAAGACTTTCTTTTACCGTGGCGTTTGCTACATGATTATGTTGTACGTTCACTTGTTAATAGGGTCGTAAAGAAATAGGTTCTGTTCATGGTGCACTTGGGGTCACATCACGTGGTACGGAGGTGGACTTGTGCTTGGAGCTGGTTCTGCAGATAATCCTTTGTATCGGTTGTAACGGCAGAACACCTCTCATCATCTGGAAGAAAAGGGGGGGGAAAAACAAACATTAGTAAGATTAAAATTTAGCCAGTCATATCCTAACAATACAAAGACTGATGACATCCAAGGTCCTGTTGGGGAAAAACAAAGACATAGTTTTTGGGGGTTTTTTAAAGTTTTTTTGTTGTTGTTTTTTAAAGTGTTTTACGGAAAACACACACACACACACACACACACACACACACACACACACACGTGTGTGTGTGTGTGTGTGTGTGTGTGTGTACACGTGGTGAAACACCAAACCAAATGTGCCAGGATCTGGACAATAAAGATATCTTATCTGATCTTATCTTATTGCTGGCGAGCAGGAAAGGAGGTGAAAGGACACAATTTTAAAGAATAAAATGTTTCAGTCGCTACCCGGATCCGAACCAGGGACCTTTGAATGAAAGACTAACACCGTAACCTCTAGGCCACGAAAACCTTCAAAGACACAATAAGTGCTTTTTAAAGTCAGAAGTTCGAGAAGTAGTCAACAAACTCATGTAGATGTAGTCAATCGCTTTGTCATGCAACACGTTACTGGTCATAAGACTCTTAGTAAGAGCTTTTTACGATGACGTGAATGAGATGAATGGAACTAGAATCAAGGTTTTTCCGTTGTGGGGAAGGAGGTGGTTGGTATTTTTACTTGAATGTTCAAACTCTAACAATGTTGTTTTTTTCTTGGGGTGGGGGGGTGCCATTTTCTGAAATGGATATAAGTTGAGGATATAAATTCAACGCAAAACGGGTTCCCATGTTGCATTTGTTCCTAATCAACTGAGATGGTAAACTGAAAATAGTGGCTCGGCCAAAAAAGATAATAAAGTAATTTCAAATTTTAATAGTAAAAATGGATTATATACCAACCTTCTATAAACTAGCTCCTCGATCCAGTGCAGATGCTTCTGTTGAGATTCTGTGTGTTTTGTCTACGTTTAACCCTATCCGTACGTCGTGTTTTTCTATCGTTTCCATACGACATGGGGAACTCTGTGCCACCACTTTCAAAGAGGAAATTTGCTAGTTAATCCGATTCGTACGCTTTGCATAGCAGTCTGCCATGATGATTTTTTTAAAGAAAATAATACTGACAGTTTCAAAGAGATCTTCGTACTAGAAGTATTTTAAAATGTGAAGAATATAACCCTGTTGGTTAGGACCCCAGGGGGTACGGATAGGGTTAGGCAAATGAGGGAGGAGAGGTGGGCTTCACTGAATAGACAGGGGTGGGGAAGAGGAGAAGGAGACAAAACAGAGTCTTTTTAGCCTTCTGTTGCAAAGCATACAACATGCTAAACCAAATTTTACTTCCACGTGTTCGATTCAACATAGTACGACTTCGTCTCATGGGGTTCGGTGCGTGTTGACCAGGTTTCGAGGGAGGGGTGGGGGAGAGGGGGAGTCTACAGGATCATAGAGGATATAAAGGATGGGGGGGGGAGTTATGATGAAGTTGTTTTAGTCTTCTATTGGAGAAGATAGATGGAATGCTCTATCTAAAGCAGCACTTTCTTCTTCACGTTAGTCTTGATGTAGTGCGCCCCGTGGGGTTCTGTGGAAGATGTCCATGGTTCAGGGAGGGGTAAGGTCTGGTTTGAAGGGAGGGGGGGGGGATAATTTGTAAACTGTTCTGTATTTGTGTCATATTGTGTAATTATGTATGTATTTATGCATGTATTTAGGTATGTACGTATTTATAATTATGTATTTATGTATGTAAATGCATGTTTGCCATTGTAAACCAAAGTGCCCTTCCGGGACTTTTAGTGTAATTTATTTTATTTTATTATTTACTATACGGCCATTGAGCAGATAAAAAAAAGAGGTGATGGTCCTAAGATTACCTCCTTTTAGCCTTATATTTGAAACAAAAATGTATTTCTCTTTTCGTCAAAGCAGACGATTTATTTGGCGTAAGACGGTCTCTAGGTAGTCTTCATGCACCTTCTTTCATGGCTAATTCTTCCTATATTTGAAATAATACAACTCTATAAACAATCATCTCAGTAGCGTTACTCTTGATGCAAAAGGTCTCCCGTGGTTCTGTGGTTGATGTTCAAGTTTTGGTTGGGGAATGGGGGGGGGAGTCCACCACAGGATCAATGAGGAGATAAGAGAAGCCGAGTACGATAATAGACTTGGGCGATTGAGCCGAGACTCGTTACGGCGTAGTTGGACCCCTGAGGGTCAAGCCAGGGAGGCTGTGCTGTCCTTCCTCTGTGTCCCTCAGGTCCTATGATGGCAGTTATGTGTATATTATTCTCATCATTTCATCTTATACGAATTCTCACATTTTGCTGCTTCACGATACGATTTTGTTGTCCTTCTTCATTCAATAAATGTTTCTATTGCAACATCTAGCGCAAGTCAATTGTATTTTGAGTTTGAGTTTGAGTGAAGAGAAGCTCGTCGGCATAATTAATAATGGTCGTTTAATGCTGGGACAAGGTAGACCGAGACAGAATGATAAAACAATAGCGATAAAGTGAAGAAGTAGAACCCTACCAGTGGCGCCCTCCAACCACGCGCAAGTCAATTATATTCACGTGTAGTTACTTGTCATGACTGACCAAGATGGCAACTCTGTGTTGATTGGAATAGATGACTGGGGCTTAAACAATTAAAAAATATATATGTA